CCCCAAAACCCCAAAACCCCAAAACCCCAAAACCCCAAATAATTATTATAACTGTAATTTTCTCAACATAAATTTAAATTTTATTCCAAAAAATGGAACAGACTCTCTCCAACGACAGGCAGATTGCTTACCACAGGCAGCAGATAAACCCCGAAGTTATACCTGATAGCAGTAAGACCACCTCCGTTCATCCCTTTAGAGCTGACTTTTGCATATGACGATATACATACAACAGGGGCTGAAGGAGCAGGGAGTAAGGCCACTAGTAGCAAATACACTAAGATTTGTACCGAAATTTCAGGGGAAGAACATAAAGTAACGACCACAGTGGATACTGAAGGAGCTAAATTTGAAGTCAGTTCGAGTATTAAAGCAGGAGGAAGGGACGATAAGTTAATAACCAAGGCCTTGAAGGAGATTAATGATGATTTCCATGATGCTATTAAGATTAACTTGGCCTTAGGAAGTACGATTCTTGAGAAGTTGGTCGCTCTGTTCGAAGATAAAGATGATGTTATCCGAGAGCTTGCTTCTAGAGCTGTAATGCAGATCGCTAGAGCGGAGAGAGGCAGAGAAACTCTTGTGGAAAATAAAATTGTTGACAATGTGGCTAAGCTTTTTGAGGATGAAGTTGAAGCGATCAGAGCAAATTCTTATGATACTTTGATTTACTTAGCAGACTTTCAGTATGGTATAGATTCTGTTATCAGTTTTGATATTATACAGATTCTTGTAGATAGACTTATTCTTGAGCCAGAGGAGCCAATTTTGATTCAGATTTTAACTCTGCTCAAAATTCTTCTTGAAGGAGAGCGTGCTCCAAGTATTATTCTATCGACACAAGCATTGTCAAGACTTAATGATCACCTTAAATCTGAGAATAAGATTATTAGAGAACTATCAGCACTTTGCTTAGGCTCGATCAGTTATAACGAAAGAGGCAAAGAGTATACTATCAAAGCTGAGTCTATTCCTCCTCTCTGAGAGATGTTAGATGATAGCATCACTAACTGAAGAATTGCTGCTACAAGAGCATTAGCTTCCCTTGCTCAGCTTAAGGAAGGAAAAGTTGAAATCCATACTCTTGAAAGACTCGATAGGATAATTGAACTTTTGGATGACCCCAATGAACAACTTAGACTAAATGTAGTACAACTCATTGCCAATGTTTCTGAATACCCTCCTTGTAGAGAGAAGTTCAAGGAATGTCTAAAGAAACTACAAGATTTGGAAGATGATTCCACGTTCCCTCTTGTATCAAGATTTGCAGAGGTAGCCATCAAGACAATCACTTGGATTCCATAAGTTCAATAAAGCTGAATTTAAAGGGGTTTTGGGGTTTTGGGGTTTTGGGGTTTTGGGG